TCACTTCCGACTAGTAGAATTAGTTCAGCTGGGCATGCTTCCTGTCTAGACTACCTTGCAGGGCTAACAGGAACAATGGCTTTTCTGGGTATTAATTGTAATATTCTTGCACTACTTCTCTATATATATACATAAGTATGTATGTATGTATGTATTTTTTATTGATTTTAGTAACTTTGTACTCTGCTCAGACAACTTCGATTATTGGGCTGATTATTTCATTCTCTTCCTCCTAAAGAGGAACTCTTGGAACAGCCTTCCCCAAATAGCACCCCCAGCTATGCAAATTTGCAACTTTCAGAATTCCCAGCCAGCTGGAAAGGCTCTTCTAGAATGCTCTAGGGCAGGGTTCCTCAACCTCAGCGAGTTTAAGATGTGTGGACTTCAACTCCCAGAATTCCCCAGCCAGGTTGAGAAATGCTGCTTTAGAGATAATCCTCCTGTAGGAAGCCAATTTTTGGGACTGCAACTAGGAACTAAAACCTCTTCAACAGAGTCATACATTTGAGATGGGCAACTATATAAATCTATGAAATGAAATCAAATGAAATGACATGGAAATGAAATGAAAATAAAGTACCCATTAGTACAAGAAGTTGCTGGTGATGTTCATGGAGCCATTTCCATCCCCCAGGTCTGGTATCAAGGGGTTCTTGCAACCCCCACTAACCCGTCTCTTCTTTCTCTCCTTCCTTCCGTCGTAGCTCTGGGGAGTCTCCAAGCAGGGATACCGATGCAGGCGTAAGTGCTCCCTCTGCTGGGCTCTGTAGGGCAGCACAACTGCCTTGCTCCCTCTCCGATCGAGGAATTGGGGAGGTGGGAGGGGGGCAGAGTCGGGGCAGCTGCAATTGGATCTTAAACCGGTCCACAGCAATGCTTGTAGCCCACTCTCCTTGCATAACTTACAGTCACTCCCTGTAATGGCAGCGTTTTGCATCAGTGCCAGGGGCTGGTTCTTGTCAGCGTGCAATATGGTCTTCAATAACATTAATGCATTTTATTGTCATATTTATGAGCGCCAGTTTGGTGTAGTGGTTAAGGCACCAGGCTAGAAACCAGGCGTCTGTGAGTTCTAGTCCCACCTCGGGCCAGTCCCTCCCTCTCAGCCCTAGGAAGCAGGCAATGAATGGCAAACCACTTCCGAAATCTTGCCAAGAAAACTGCAGGGACTGGTCCAGGCAGTCGCCAGGAATCAACACTGACTTGAAGGCACCAAAAAAGGCATATTTATTGTTATTGGGACTGTTTATACTATAAGCCCCTTTTAAGGTTTTTAATGAAAACAGACACATCACAGGTATTCAACCTGAGTCCCAAGGCAGGCCCTCAGAAGTCTGGCCTCCAAGTTTGTCAAATGGTAATTTTAAAAGTAAGGCTGGAGAATACTACTACTACTAACTAGCTTTCATTTTCATTTGCTATAAACACAAGGAAATCAAAATTAATTGTTGTCCTGACCTCACCTGCTCCTTTTTGGAGTGTGACCCCTTAGCCACATTCCTGTCTCGAAAAAAACTGTGTATTCTTAAAGCTTAAGCAAAAGAAGTGCCTTGACCAGCCCTATGGGAGTTGTAGTATAAGGCTGGAGAAGGCTGGGAGCAGGACCAGTCGGGGCAAGAATTCACCTTCCGATCCCCTTGACTTGATGCCCTCTTTTGCTTCCCTTCCAGCCTGTGGCATGATCTGTCACAAACACTGCAAGAACCAGGTGGAGGTGGAGTGTCAAAGCCGCCGCTTCCCTTCTTCCTCCTCTGACAGCACACCTCGCACAGCCACGCTATCTACCACTCACCACCCCAGCTCAGGTACGTGGCAGTTGGTGCCGGCTAGGACTCGGGAGAAGCGATCACTAGCTTTAAAAGGAGGACATCCCTGTAAAACCAGTAAAACTGATCCAGAAGAAAAGCACCGATCCAAAGCCGGAGAGGCAGCAAATGCTCACGCGCAACACGAAAGCCCTTTTCTCTAGGAATTTCCCAAGATGGGGCCTTTCAGATAGCTGAGCCTTTTGTTCCCGTCAGCGCCAACCAATATGGCAGTTGGCCAAGGGCGATGAGTTAGAATTCAGACCACCTGGAGGGCATCATCTTGGAGAAAGACAGACAGCAGTTTATTTGTGCAGATTCGGCCCAGAGGCTTGGAAGTTAAAGTTGACATAATAGTAAAGGAGCCTCATGCCAATGAGCAAAGAGAAAAGATGGGTCAGTTGGTCAACTCTTTCTAAACATCAAGCAGCAGCCCCACCCATGGAAATTCACTTCCGACTTGCAACTAGGGTTAGTATTCTCCAACTTCCCAGAACCTTCCTGCGAGTATGTCAGCTGGGTGTCAATGCGGCTTTGGAGAAATACTGATTCTTACATGCACCATATACTATCCCACGCCAAGCTCTACAGCACAACTTCAAGATAGGGCAGCATCAACCCCCTGGAGGGGTTCACCCACCAGAGAGGCAGTTCAGACCAACTGGCCTAAGGCGTGATGCTCGTGCCAAGAGCAGCTCCCCATGTCCGAGATCTGGATTACCTCCATGCGACGGCTCTATTTCTAACCTGGCCTCTTTCACGCTGCAGGCTCAGAGGAAGAAATGTTTCTCTTCCCACCAGGGTGGGAACAGGGCAAGAGCCCTGTGGTCTCGCTGTCGAGCAGCCCAGGCAGTCGGCTGGTAAAACACGCCTGCACCCAAACCGAGGGGGCTGGCCCCGTGGCTGAGGAGCAACAGGAGCAGGAGGCGGACGGCTGCAACAAGAATCGGAAGCAGCTCCTGGAACTAGTGAAGGAGCTGGAAAAGGTGAGGATGCTTACAGGGGAAGTATCTGTGTAACTTCTGCGTAACAAAGGGGGGGGGCGGCCTTTTGGGAGCAAAGCAGAGGTGACTGATGTGGGAGATTTGCCATTCAGAATTTGGCCAACGGAAAGTGCTTCTGCAGGAGAGAACATTCATCCCATCTCAGCCTCGCCCCATTTTCAATCACAGTCATGCCCTCCAAAGGCTGGACTTAGATCTGGGGGGTAGTGGACAGACAAGATGCCACTTCTCCACCCTGGAGCTTGGGCATACAGCTGCCGATCCCAGTAAGCAGAGGCTGTGGGGATGCGGCAAAGAAATCCTCTGCATTTCTCAGTTGCTGGTTGGGCTTTCTTTGCAAAGTCCGTTGGGGCAGGGAAGACGGGTTTCTTTGGTCCCTTGATAGTCACAGTCTGCCTAAGGCTCATTCCGCCAAAGGAAGGCCCCAAGAGACAGGATTATTACTCCAATTCCCTCTCCCCCGAGTTTCTGCAGGGATCAGGAACACACCACCCCTTTCAAGCCGCAGACAGAATCCAGCGGTGTTGCAGGGCAGCTGGCAGGTTTGCTGAAGCGGCTGCTTCTTGTCCTGTGTCACGTTGACCTGCATCCCTTTGGTCTGAGATGCACAGAAGTATCCTGGGGCTTGGCAGATGCACGTGTTTCAGCCCCCCATTACCACGAATGAAGCTGCCACCGGCTCTTCTCTAACAGCTTGCTCTGACTTGCAGGAACGGGACAGGCTGATGACCGACAACCAGTGCCTCCAGAACCGCTACTCACAGCTGGAGGCGGAGAACAGACGGCTGCTGAAAACAGGGACGCCCGGGTCCCTGTATGAAATTGCGCCTCGGTTTATTTGAGGCACCTTGTCTGTTGCTGCTCTCTGCCGCAAAGTATAGCAATGAAAGAGCTTTCCTGACTGCCAAACATTCATCCTCAAGGTGCCGGAGATCAGGAAAAGAGACTGGGGGAGGAAGCCGTTCGCTGAAGATTTAAGACAGCAGGAGAAAGAAAATCTGGGAGGTGGGAGCTGAGCAACTACACTGTCCTAGGGGTTCTTTAATTTCCAATCAAGGACATCTCCCACAACCACCTTTTCAGTCCTGCTCCTTTAAGGGAAGATGGGAATCTGAGCCCCTTACTATGCAGAAAAGCTTCCGATCTGTATTTATTTATTATATATATATATATATTTTAAAAATATACGCTGGCCCGTTTTATGGCTCTAGGCAGCTTTTGGGATTTGAAAATAAATACTGCAACTAAAATAATTAAAACCAGCAGCATTAAAAATCCTAACCTAAAAGTAACATGTTTGAATGTCCCTTGAGGAATTCCAAGACGAACCGGGGGAGCTTGAAGTCCAACAGCCAGTGGTTCAGTAACGCAGGCCCACCGCAAAATAAGCAGAAGCCCATGGTGAAACTGCAAAAAAGATCTCGCTGCGTGGGGAGGACTGCCCGCAAACCCTACAGGAACAACCAGAAGGCAGAAAAATAAAGTTTTATTTTGAACTCGATCTTCACGTAAGAGTTTGACTTATGTGAGAAAATTTAATAGCAGAGATAGGAGTGGTGCTACATTGATCCCAGAGTGCTACATTTCAAGTGTGCTTACTGGCCCCACCCTGCAAGCAAAATCTGACAACCCCCTCTTTAATACCAAAGGCCACCGGGCCATCATCGCGTATGACCACCTTGGGCCTCCCAGATGTATACAGACCACAATTCCTTTATTTCCAGCCACAGAAGCTGGCAGATGTGTTGACAGGAGATTAAAGGAGCTTTAGTCCTACACCTCCAAAAAACATCAGGTTCAAGAAGACACAGTGGTCAACCAGGAGGGAAGAGGCGCCTTTCCCTCCAATACTGCCCCCTTAGAGTGGGCCAAACGGGATTTGTGGCACAGGCAATATCTTACGCATTCCTGATTCCAAATTAACTGATACCCAACTTGGAATCTTCAATTTCTTTACAAGAAAATTCTCAGGAAAAATTTAGACATTGGTCTTATCCTTACTCCCCTGGAATGCACCCATTCCATTTCCATGACATTTAGGGGGACTTTTACTTTGGGGGTGGGAGGACGTCCAAATACAACATACACTGATTTTGATTCTGAGCAGCCAACAAATATCAAGCACTTCCTAACCTTTAAAGCAACCCAGCTGGTAGGGCAGGTAGCCAGCCTTCCCCAACCTGGTGCCCTCCAGGTATGTTTGGAACTGTGCTTTCCCTAAACCCCCAGCCAGGATGATCTTTGGATTAGGGGAGCTGACTTACAGCACATCTGGTCTAAAGAACCACATCCTTATTTAAAGCCGCCTTGCCTCCGTCTGTTGGAGAAAGGCAAGATTGAGCGCTTGACGTTTTCAGCAAGAACCCGTTGCTCCCCTCTTCTCCACTTCTGGCCGCACCACCCCACTGCAGCCTGCGGAAGCACTCTCATTTCTTCTTCTTCTTGCCCCGTTTACTCCAGCGCTGGCCACCGCCACCTCCCTCTCTCCTCTTCTCCCAGGTGGGCATGGGGGGCTCAATTTCGTTGGGACGCCCTCCCCGGTCTGGGACGCTGCCTGTCATCAACACCTGTGGGCAGGAAGGAAGGAAGGGTGGGCTGAAGCCGGAGGTAGGAGTGGGGACACCCCATCCTCTCTTCTCTGCCCCAAGATTCCACTCCTTCAAGGAGGAGAAGCTGCGCATGTAGAGTCAGGGTTTTGCTAGGCCAAACCATAGTTTGTGGAGCAAACAGCAACTCCCTGGGATTGGGCAACATGCTAAGCTGTAAAGAACTTGGTTCACATGAGATTCCAAGGGGAAATGAAGTAGTTTCATATCTTGCCTTTCCTCTAGGACAGTGTTTCTCATCCTTGGCAACTTGAAGCTGGGTGGACTTCAACTCCCAGAATTCCCCAGCCAGACATG